TTGGGGAGAGGTGTTGGATGGTATTGTGTTTTTACATTTAATGTTAGAGGTCTCCTTAGGCTAATGTTAAGCATGTAGAGATACCTTATAAAATAAGCATATTTTATTCCATATCATAATTTTAATTTTCTGTCCATAAACATTACAAAATAAAATAATTTATGACATATTATAAGCATTTACTATTGAGGGATGTGGAATGTTGATTATTTCTAAGTAAATCACTTACAAAGTATATCTTTTTGTGTTAGAAAAAATTATAATTGTGTGAGCATATTCTTTACAGGATATCATTTAACTAAGGTATATAATTTAAAGTTATTTGTTAAAATTAGAACTCTCATTGCATCTTGATAAATGCCACTATAGAATTTATCAAAGCCTGCCCCCCAAAAAAGTGCTGACACTTCTAAATATTTTCTTTAGTGGTTACCTTTAATCAGTCACAGTATATAGTCTTCACAGAAATAGTCTTTATATGGTTATCCCCCTCTATAGATATAATTATTTCCCATATGTTGCAAATGAGGTTTTGATTCATAGATTGTTTTCAAAGTTAAATTTATACTATGTAGGCAAACATATTTATAAAACATAGTAATCAATTAGCCCATTTGTTAGTTATCCAGGCATCACATATAAAACAGAATATGTAATATCAGTGAAACTGGGAAGAAATCATTGTTATTAGTCCAAGTATTGATAAGTGCCTCTGATAATCTAGTATCTATCAAAGCATCCATCACAGTTCTTAAAATAACTTGTTGATTATTTCTTCTTCTGGAACATAATGCATTGAAGATTATAGTTGTGTTTTGCTACTTTATCTTTGGTGTCTGTCAAGTGACTTTATACTAGGAGCTCAAGAAATGCTGCACTGAACTGATCTGAGTTGAATTGAACTGAATTGATTATTTAAAAAAGGGAATCCACACCTAAATTCAGTAATTAATCAAGTTAATTGATTCTGACTCTCCCCTTCTCATAAAGGCTATTTAATTGTATGCTTTTACTTAAAGCATTCATTTCCTAACCACTATGTATGTTATAATAAATAATTATATTTTATATATTATATATAAAATTTCTTCAGATGAGTTTTTCCATATTAGGGACAGAATTCTATTCTTTTCACATTATCTTGTACAATTTTCATTGATTTTTTTTTCCCCTCCAACCCTGTCAATCTTACTGTTGTTGTTGTTTAGTCGCTAAGTCATGTCCAACTCTTTTGCAACCCCATGTACTGTAGCCCACTAGGCTTCTCTGTCCATGAGATTTCCTAGGCAAGAATTCTGGAGTGGGTAACCATTTCCTTCTGCAGGAAATCTTCCCAACCCAGGGATTGAATCCAGTTCAAGAGTCTGCATTGCAGGCAGATTCTTTACTGCTGAGCCAGCAGGAGAGCCCATTGATCTTATAGAGCTATCTTATATATGGCCTTTTTTAGTTTTATTTTTTTTGGTATTAAACGCAAAATGTGGTATTCTGTTTTTGAGTTCTTTTTATAAAATTTTGTGTTATTACCAATATCCTTTCAAAAGATATTGTGGAGTAATATTTAATACTATTTGACCATGAGTATTTATATTTAGGCATAAGAATAAAAATACTAAGTATAGCTATGTGATAGAGTGACTAAAATGGGGGGGGTGTGTGTATGTTAGTTGCTTCGTCATATCTGACTCCTTGCAACCCCATAGACTGTAGCCCACCACGCTCCTCTGCCCATGAGATTCTCCAGGCATGAACACTGGAGTGGGTTGCCATTTCCCTCTCCAAAAGGAACTATAGAAAGAAAGAAAGTGAAGTCGCTCAGTCGTGTCCGACTCGTTGCGACCCCATGGACTGTAAATTCCCAAGCTCCTCCATCCATGGGATTTTCAGCTAAGGCTCTATTGATAATTGAATCGCAGTGTGTTTTAAATACCATCCGTGTAGAAGTTCGCAAATGTCATGTAACTTTTTAAAGTTTTAGTGTTAACTAAAAATCATTTAGTTTTTTCTAGGCTAAATATTGGGCTGAGAATTCTGATCTAATATAATGTTTTCCTCATAACAGAACAATTAGTTTCAGATGAAATATAACTTCAAGCTAAAAAGAAATGTCAAAGCAAATGATTTACATTTGGACAGGTCTTATAAAGAGGTATAGACTGTCACTGAATCTAAGATTGTTAAGTTGCAACACTATTTTATAAAGCACCACTAAAGAAAGAAATTCTGCACATTAAAATAAGACCCAACTCTTCTAATATTTAGAATTTTTATTTCCAAAATAGTTTTTTAAACATAAACATAAATTATTTTAATCATTTTGGTCACTGCTGAATATTTTATATGCACACACACACATACACATACATTAGAAAATGTACATAAAATACATTGCATGAGGCATTCCTAAAACATCATCCTATTCAGTATCTAGCTCTTCAAAACTGATTTTTGAGTCAGAGTGTTCGATGTGCCTGTTTCCCACATCCTTTTTGCTGAGGTGCCTGTCTTAATAGACAGCCTCTGTTTTCTCTGGCTGTTCCATCCACACTGCTGCACCCATTCTGAAAGTTTTGATGGTGGTACTTCCTTGACATTACCAGAAAGTTTCAGGAGAAGCTTTTTCAGACAACAATAGGATTCATATTACTTTTTCAAATGGTCTTATTGAAATGTGTGGGAATCGTCATTGTCTAACCAAGCCATAGAAATAATAACCTAATAATTCCAACTGAGCTATTTCAAATCCTAAAAAAAAGATGCTGTTAAAGTGCTGCAATCTATATGCCAACAAATTTGGAAAATGCAGCAGTGGCCACAAGACTGGAAAAGGTCTGTTTTCGTTCCAATCCCAAAGAAAGGCAATGCCAAGGAATGTTCAAAGTACTGCACAATTGCACTCATCTCACACGCTAGCAAAGTAATGCTCAAAATTCTCCAAGCTAGTCTTCAACAGTACATGAACCATGAACTTCCAGATGTTCAATCTGGATTTAGAAAAGGCAGAGGAACCAGAGATCAGATTGCCAACATCCGTTGGATCATCAAAACAGAAAGAGAATTCCAGAAAAACATCTACTTCGGCTTTATTGACTATGCCAAAGCCTTTGACTGTGTAGATCACAGCAAACTGTGGAAAATTCAAGAGATGGGGATACCAGACCACATTACCTGCCTCCTGAGAAATCTGTATGCAGGTCAAGAAGCAACAGTTAGAACTGGACATGAAACAACAGACTGGTTCCATACTGGGAAAGGAGTATGTCAAGGCTGTATGTTGTCACCCTCTTTATTTAACTTATATGCAGAGTACATCTTGCGAAATGCCGGACTGGATGAAGCACAAGCTGGAATCAAGATTGCTGGGAGAAATATCAGTAACCTCAGATATGCAGATGACACCACCCTTATGGCAGACAGTAAAGAGGAACTAAAGAGCCTCTCCATGAAAGTGGAAGAAGAGAGTGAAAAAGTTGGCTTAAAACTCAATTTAAAAAACTAAGATCATGGCATCTGGTCCTGTCACTTCATGGCAAATAGATGGGGAAACAATGGAAACAGTGACAGACTTTATTTTCTTGGGCTCCAAAATCACTGCAGATGGTGACTGCAGCCATGAAATTAAAAGACACTTACTCCTCGGAAGAAAAACTATGACAAACCTAGATAGTATATTAAAAAGCAGAGACATTACTTTGTTAACAAAGGTCCGTATAGTCAAAGCTATGTTTTTCCAGTAGTCATGTACGGATGTGAGAGTTGGACCATAAAGAAAGCTGAGTGCTGAAAAATTAATGCTTTTGAATAGTGGTGTTGGAGAAGACTCTTGAGAGTCCCTTGGACTGCAAGGAGACCAAATCAGTTGATCGTAAAGGAGATCAGTCCTGAATATTCATTGCAAGGACTGATGCTGAAGCTAAAGCTCCAATACTTTGGCTACCTGATGCGAATGATTGACTCATTGGAAAAGACCCTGATGCTGGGAAAGATTGAAGATGAGAGAAGGGGATGACAGAGGATGAGATGGTTGGATGGCATCACTGACTTGATGGCCATGAGTTTGAGTAAGCTCCAGGAGTTGGTGATGGACAGGGAAGCCTGGCATGCTGTGGTCTATGGGGTCGCAAAGAGTCAGACATGACTGAGTGACCAAACTGAAATGAATTCAAACATACCTAAGGCATGGCAGCAACATTACTACCCTTGGTGGCCCCCTGATGAACAGGGATTGTTAAGAGACTGTCAGTATAAGAATCCTCATTTCTAATATAATGAGATATGTAAACAGTTGGGGTCTTAAAATAAAAAAAGTACAGTATTAAAAAGTCACAGTGGGGTATAATAAAAAGAAAAAAAAGTCCGCTTCAATTAAGGGCATATATATGTGTGCCCAAACATACATTATTCCAGAAAATAAAATTCTAACAGATAGATCATTTACATAATCCTTAAATTTTTATTAAATAAATTTATCTGCATTTACTAAGGTATTTAGGGCTTCCCCAGTGGCTCAGCATTAAAGAATCTGCCTGCCAATACAGGAGACCTGGGTTTGACCCCTGGGTCAGGAAAATCCCCTGGAGAAGGAAATGCCACTTCTCGCCAACATTCTTGCTTGGGAAATCCCATGGACAGTGGAGCCTGGTGTGCTGCAGTCTATGGGGGATGCAAAAGAGTCAAATACAACTTAGAGATTAACAACAACAACAAGCTTAGCTATGTCTAATTAAAAAATTTTTCTGTCAGAAGTTGAATTATTATGGTCCTACCGAACTTGATATTAAACAATTCTAATTTATTATTTTATGTGCTTGTAGACATATGGGTAAGATAACCAGTCAAATGGATTAGAAAGTATTGAAAAGTTTTCATGTTGTTCTACATGAACTAATCCTTTCCTTTGATCATTAAAATGTGATTTCTCAACTTTCAAAATTAACAAATGTTATAGATAAGTAAAGAACCCAGCCACTGAATATTTCTTAACTTCTTCTCTACCTCAGGTCCCATAAGTAGCGTTTTGGTGAATAAATATGGTAGCCGGCCAGTGGTGATGGTAGGAGGTTTGTTATGCTGTTTGGGAATGGTCTCGGCCTCTTATAGTACCAACGTAGTAGAGCTTTACCTCACAATGGGATTCATTTGCGGTAAGTGAAGATTTATTTTCAGCTTATTTTCTTCTTAACAATTCTACTGTTTGCAAAGTTCTGTCAGAAGCATGAGCAACAGAACATTCTTATTTTCTTTGATTTTCTTTTTTTATATCAGATGCATATACTTTAAAGGATTGTCATCTGGTATATTAAACTCCTGGCTATAGGCTGACCAATCAAACTAATTTCAAGAATTGGAAAAAGCAAGTTATCAGACATGTTATGTGCTATGATATAAATGTCAAAAAGAAAACTTCTTTGGTTGGTTTTTACTGTTTCAACATTTAATCTTCAGGCCGTGAAGGTGATATTGTGGACATAGACTCTCTGGCATATAAATAGCTTCATTAAAAAAAAAATTGCTTTCATTACTTATTACTATTAGTGTCTGACTGATCACTCATAATAGGTTAAAAATGGTGTCAAAAAGATGTTTCCTGGATTCACTGATTTAGCTTTAACAATAGAATTGTTGCCTGTCTTCTGATTAGTGGTAGAGCTCTGCATGAGCCTCCCTACCTTTTCTTAATAAAGGATTCTATGTAAAAGCTTTGAAAGACACATTTGCCACTAAACACAAATATTTTAAAATGAGTTCCTATCATTAGGTTATAGTTGTTTCTTAAGCATTTCTGTAGTTTCTAGTTGACCTGAATATGCACATTTGGAAAATATGATGTTTATTAACTTCAACAGCACATTGCATGACACAAATTTACACTCAAAGTTTTAGAAAAATTAGACTTCAGTATATAAAGAAATTTAATTATTTCCTTTTGCTCACAGATAAAAAGGTAAATATATATATTTTTGACTGTAGGTCACTCTGGCCTTGCATTAATGCATCATCTGATAGAAAAATGAGATGTATTAAAGCCTACAGTGATAGTGATGTTAAAATTTACTCTTTCCAACCTCTGGACAACTCTTCTTTTTTTACTTTGTAAGACATCTTTGACATTTTAAATGAGAATCTTCTTATGTCTAAGAATTGTCATGGTGAAGAGAATACCGTTTCCTTTGTGAAGAAATACTAGGTACAGCTGACCTTGAACAACATGGATTTGTACTGCGGGGGTTTACTCTACTGCCCAGTCCATGGTTGGTTGAATCCTAAGGCGAGCTGACTATAAATGATACATAGAATTTCAGCTGTGTAGAGGGTGAGCCTTAAACCCCACATTGTTCAAGGGTCAGCCATATTTCATTTGGCCATAGAATTCAGGCTGGGCCCACAAAGTCATGTACTAGGAAAAAGATGGTTTTGATGTTACTGTATCATAAATATCAATTGTATTTTATGTTATTCTAACTTCAGTTCCATTTATTTGAGTCTTAAAGGCCCTGGTGCTTCTAGTCAACCACTAAAAATAACTATAAGAGATTTATCTTAAGTCATTATCAGCCAATACTTCTTCGCATTTGAAATTATTCAGGTCTAGCGCTTAAACCTAACTCAGCACATATTAGCTGTGTGATCGTGGATAAATACCCCTCCTTATGCCTCCGTCTCTTTGTCTTTAAAATGGAAAAATGATAGCTCTTTCCTTTCGGAGGAAAAGGAAATATGTAGGATGAACCATATATTCATTTGTAAAAATGAACCATATGTTCATTTGAACCATATATTCAATGAACTATATATTCATTCATTTGTAAAAAAAAATGAATAGATGATACTTTACAGAGTATCCAGCATTTTGTCACTTTTAAATAAATACTAGCATGTAATAATCATCATCACAGCGTCATTATCTACCATCTTGGAGCTGTAGACCTCACTTGATTTTAGCAAAACCTTTTTTTGTCCTTGTTGAGGGAACTGGAGTTTAAGATGTCTAAGTATCTTGCCCAGTAGTGCACATAGGTGAGTAGTTGAGGCAGGCTTAGATCTTTCATTTCGAATGCCATGCTCCTTTTACCATGCCAGGTAGGAAATAGATGAGCACGAACTCCTAAGGAGAACTTGCATTAACACGTGAAAGCAAAATTCCAGGTGACAAAATGGGGGCAAGGGAGGAAGATGGAATAATGTAAAGAAAGTTGAACCTCAAAACACAATTCCTGGGAATTTGAGTTTTTCCTCTTACAAGCTGCTGACAATAGTGTCACTACTTAGACATTGGATCTATTGATAATTACACTCATTTTGCATATCTCACAAGTATGGCTGAGGTAGAATCAGAGAGCATACTACCCTGTCATTCTCCAAACCTGATTACTGGTTCCTTCATATCAGTTTTTTGGAATACAATTCAGTTCAGTGCAGTTCAGTCGCTCAGTCATGTCTGACTCTTTGCAACCCCATGAGCTGCAGGCCTCCCTGTCCAGCTCCAACTCCCAGAGTCTACCAAAACTCATGGGCATTGAGTCGGTGATGCCATCCAACTATCTCATCCTCTGTCATCCCCTTCTCCTCCTGCCCCCAATCCCTCCCAGCATCAGGGTCTTTTCCAATGAGTCAGCTCTTTGCATCAGGTGGCCAAAGTACTGGAGTTTCAGCTTCAGCATCAGTCCTTCCAATGAACACCCAGGACTGATCTCCTTTAGCATGGACTGGTTGGATCTCTTTGCAGCCCAAGGGCTCTCAAGAGTCTTCTCCAACACCACAGTTCAAAAGCATCAATTCTTCTGCGCTCAACTTTCTTCACAGTCCAACTCTCACATCCATACATGACCACTGGAATAACCATAGCCTTGACCAGACAGACCTTTGTTGACAAAGTAATGTCTCTTCTTTTTAATATGCTGTCTAGGTTGGTCATAACTTTCCTTCCAAGGAGTAAGCGTCCTTTAATTTCATTGCTGCAATCACCATCTGCAGTGATTTTGGAGCCCCCAAAAATAAAGTCAGCCACTGTTTCCACTGTTTCCCCATCTATTTGCCATGAAGTGACAGGACCAGATGCCATGATCTTAGTTTTCTGAATGTTGAGCTTTAAGCCAACTTTTTCACTCTCCTCTTTCACTTTCATCAAGAGGCTTTTTAGTTCCTCTTCCCTTTCTGCCATAAGGGTGGTGTCATCTGCATATCTGAGGTTATTGATATTTCTCCCAGCAATCTTGATTCCAGCTTGTGCTTCTTTCAGCCCAGTGTTTCTCATGATGTACTCTGCATATAACTTAAATAAGTGGGGTGACAATATATAGCCTTGGCGTACTCCTTTTCCTATTTGGAACCAGTCTGTTGTTCCATGTCCAGTTCCAACTGTTGCTTCCTGACCTGCATACAGGTTTCTCAAGAGGCAGGTCAGGTGGTCTAGTATTCCCATCTCTTTCAGAATTTTCCACAGTTTATTGTGATCCACACAGTCAAAGGCTTTAGCATAGTAAATAAAGCAGCAATAGATGTTTTTCTGGAACTCTCTTGCTTTTTCTATGATCCAATGGATGTTGGAAATTTGATCTTTGGTTCCTCTGTCTTTTCTAAAACCAACTTGAACATCTGGAAGTTCATGGTTCACATATTGCAGAAGCCTGGCTTGGAGAATTTTGAGCATTACTTTACTAGCATGTGAGATGAGTGCAATTGTGTGGTATTTTGAGCATTCTTTGGCATTGCCTTTCTTTGGGATTGGAATGAAAACTGACCTTTTCCAGTCCTGTGGCCACTGCTGAGTTTTCCAAATTTGCTGACATATTGAGTACAGCACTTTCACAGCATTATCTTTTAGGATTTGAAATAGCTCAACTGGAAGTCCATCACCTCCACTAGCTTTGTTCGTAGTGATGCTTCCTAAGGCTCACTTGAATTCACAATCCATGGTGTCTGGCTCTAGGTGAGTGATCACACCATCGTGATCATCTGGGTCGTGAAGATCTTTTTTGTATAGTTCTTCTGTGTATTCTTGCCACCTCTTTTTAATATCTTCTGCTTCTGTTAGGTCCATGCCATTTCTGTCCTTTATTGAGCCCATCTTTGTATGACATGTTCCCTTGGTATCTCTAACTGTCTTGAAGAGATCTCTAGTCTTTCCCATTCTATTGCTTTCCTCTATTTGTTTGCATTGATCGCTGAGGAAGGCTTTCTTATGTCTCCTTGCTATTCTTTGGAACTCTGCATTCACATGGATATATCTTTCCTTTTCTCCTTTGCTTTTCGCTTTTCTTCTTTGCACAGCAATTTGTAAGGCATCCTCAGACAGCCATTTTTTCTTTTTTGCATTTCTTTTTCTTGGGGATGGTCTTGATCCCTGCCTCCTGTTCAGTGTCATGAACCTTCATCCATAGTTCATCAGGCACTCTGTCTATCAGATCTAGTCCCTTAAATCTATTTGTCGCTTCCACTGTAAGGGAAGGGACATAAGGGATTTGATTTAGGTCATACCCCAATGGTCTAGTGGTTTTCCTTTCTTCAATTTAAGTCTGAATTTGGCAATAAGGAATTCATGATCTGAGCCACAGTCAGCTGCTGGTCTTATTTTTGCTGACTGTATAGAGCTTCTCCATCTTTGGCTGCAAAGAGTATAATCATTCTGAATACTATTACAAATATTAAATACAAATATTTGTATTAGAGGTTTGCATTAAGTATTTATACTCAGAACCCAGTGTCCTGCAATCTAAATACTTAACCAATTTGCAATACTGCCTCAAATTTGCATAAATCGGTCAATGCCAAAGAATTCCTGCTTCTATAGATCCTAAATAATACAGAATCATGTAGAGGCTAATGGGGAAAGAGAGGTAGTTTGTATAAATCACTTGTATTTACTTTTTAAACAAGCATTCATTTCTGTTGCCAAATAGTACCTTGATGAGCTATAAGAAGTAATTAAGTTCTCAAAAGCAAAACTCAACTCTGTCAAGGTGTCCCTAGACAGCAGAAACATTTGATCCATATAAACAATCAGCTTAAAATTATTTTTTAGTTAATACACATTCACCCCTATAGTCATGAAATGTGGAATATGAGGGATGAAGAACATGAAATTAATGGCATGAATTGATTACTCTTTTTTTTATTATTTGCATAGCTTTGAAAGAAATACCTAGAGGAGATCTAGGATTATTTATAAATGACAGCCTTTTAAATCTGTTGTCTATTCTGTACTGTAAAGAAAGTATTCATGTTTTAAACACACTCTTGCCCTCAAGGAAGATATCTATTCTCTGCATGTGTATATAATGAGAGAGATTAGAGCGATTAATTTATTTGTGGAATTAAGTGATTGATAACTAAGAACCAATGAACTGTGTTCCAATTTCAACCTATTTTCTGATTGTTGCAACATTAGAAGCTCTTGGTTTTATTTTTGTGTTTTAAAAGGAAAGGATTATGAAACAGTCATGCATCTCAGATGTCTGGTTATGAGACCCTCTTTGTTTTTGTGCCATCTTATTGATAATATGTAATTTTTTAAATTTTTAAATTTTTTATTTACTGTGGGCTGTTGCCTTTTCATTCTGCCATCTCCACTTGAATGTGCATTTTGACAAGTGATTTCTTTTGTGAGTGACATAATGCGTTTGTTTCTTCCTTTTGTTTTGTTCTCTTTAGGTTTAGGTCTAGCCTTCAACCTGCAACCTGCCTTAACAATCGTTGGCAAATACTTCTACAAGAAACGACCCGTAGCGAATGGGCTTGCAATGGCTGGAAGTCCTGTTTTCCTAAGTACCTTGGCCCCTTTCAATCAGTTCCTCTTTAATACTTACGGCTGGAAGGGAAGCTTTATGATTTTGGGAGGTTTGCTGTTGAACTGCTGTGTGGCTGGGTCCCTTATGAGACCTGTTGAACCCAAAGCAAGTACTGAGTCTAAAAATAAGGTTGGAGTAAGAGAAAATGATTCCAGTATGAAAAAAAGACAAAAAAAGTTATCAGTTTGGGAAAAAATTAATAAGTATTTAGATTTCTCCCTTTTTAAGCATAGGGGATTTCTGATATACTTATCTGGAAATGTCATTATGTTTCTGGGGTTCTTCGCCCCCATTATATTCTTGGCTCCATATGCTAAAGACAAAGGAATCGATGAGTATTCTGCAGCTTTCTTGCTCTCTATTATGGCTTTTGTTGATATGTTTGCCAGACCTTCTGTAGGACTTATTGCCAATTCCAAATTAATCCGACCCCGCATCCAGTACTTCTTCAGTTTTGCAGTGATGTTCACTGGAATCTGTCATCTCTTATGCCCATTGGCTGAGGACTACACCAGCCTGGTGGTGTATGCTGTATTTTTTGGCCTTGGATTTGGGAGTGTTAGCAGTGTCCTCTTTGAAACTCTCATGGACCTTGTTGGTGCTCAGAGATTTTCCAGTGCTGTGGGACTCGTCACAGTTGTGGAGTGCTGTCCTGTCCTCCTTGGGCCTCCTCTTGCTGGTAAGAATATTTATCAACAAAGAAGGCAAATAGCATAAAATTAATATCCATTAGCTGAGACTTTCTTTGTAGTGTAAAATGTGGTTTTTAACAATATATACTAATACCCTAAAAGACTGTAGATGTGTTAATTTTAGCCTTATTATGTATTTTTAATTTCCTAATTAGTCTATTTTAGACAAAAATTTCATTTATAGCCTGGTATTATGAACTTGAGAATTTAAATTAGACTGATACTTAGCATGATTTGCAGATTTTTACCTATATCAACTTGTAATGTTAAAAATATATCATAAAAATAAAATACCACTTTATCATTGGTAAACAGATTTCTCTTTTTTTTTTAAATAAGTCAAAAATTTAAAGTAATGCTCTCAAAAGGTTAAAATCTGTTTTCCTATTGGAGTATACTGGTTATGTTAATATAGAACTTGTTACATGCTTAAGGAAGGAATACATTTATAATATCACTGGTTGGAATGTATCAATAGGAATGAAAGAATGAAGAGAAGTTCATTCAAAGTCATTTTCTTGATCAGATACTTATATCCCATATTTGTAACCTTTATCTTTAGATTTTAAGATCTAAAGTACTATCAGAGATGACTATAAAAGTATCTGTGCTAAAAAAAAAAAAGTATCTGTGCTAAATTATCTAGTAAAGAGGCTGAGTAAAGACACATGTGTACATTTATTTTTGAAGTGGAGACTTAGTTTAGTCTTAGACTTACATGTAATAAATATTAAATACTTTTTGTTTGCCTAGCCTTTCTAGTAATCACTGTAGAGCATTGCTTTAATTAATGCTAAATGTAGGTATTTACTTAGACCTCTTAGCCTGCCCCTAATTGTCACAATAACTGCCAGGCCAAGCATTAATTTTTTTCTTGTATATAAAGTCAGTGTTTAAACTCTTCCTACATGACATAAAGGAATCATTTTGAAAGTGGGAAAATTCATGTTTAATTTGTTACCCTTAAGGCACCTCTGACATTTACCTTTTGCTTTTTCACTTGGTCAGGAATGAGTGGTATAGTTGTTGACTTTTTCCTGTCCACCAGGGCTGCCATCTGGAATGCCTAGGGTGGTATATCTCTTGATATAGACATGCCACGTCACACCAAAACAGTTTTCAAAGTGAATGAAGCCAGTAGGTCTTATTCATTTTGGTCAATATATATTATTATAAAACAAGTACAGTTGGCCTATCTTTTCATACAGAATTACTTTTACCAAATGGGTTTTAGAAGTCTATTCATTAGCAATAAAATCTTAGTATCAACAGAGAAAATTATATCTCACCAGCCATAGTGGGATGAAAAAGTACCAAGTGAGGTCAGTTGACACAGTGGATGGGTGCTATGGAAATGGATGAATCTGATTTGCCACTCCTACCTGTGACTGAGACCTGTTTTAATACTTACATCAGTTTCAGTATCCCTGAGCGCTGATTGTGTTAATGTTGCCAAACTGCTGCCCCAGTGGTGTCAGTGGCAATAATTGATTTGGGGCTCATTTTTAAAGGTATCGGATTATATAGCCATAAAATAGTGTCCATTTTTTTCATCCTGTTTTTGCCTCCTGATACTCCTTGATATTTAAACTGTCTTCTCTGGAGCATACCATCACTACTAGCATAGTGTCTGCAACATAGTAGGTACTCAATAAATACTTTTGAGTGAATGGGTATTGCTGCAGTTACTTCCTATCAGTTGCTACTGCTGCTACTAGCCTTGATAGTACAACAGTGATAGTAGGACAATAGTAAAACAGGGGGAGCATGAGTTTTATTTTTTTCAACTTGAACTTCCACTGCTACATCCAGAAAGAGCAGAAACTTTAATTCTGGAAATTATATCTGGTTTCTTGATGATGCTAAAAATTACTAAAACATTTAGAAAGTATGTTTATTTGGCAGTCCAAAGTGATACTAATTCTAATGGGACAAAAGACCTAATTTTCTGTATTTAGGAGTGTACTAATCATTGCATGAATAGAAATATTTGACTAAAGTTCAAATGGAAAATTAAATTACAGAATTTGGTTTTGTTTATGTATATATCATACTTACTCAAATAAGTCCATCCTATCATTTATCTAAATAATACAGGGAACTTTGTTGAAATAGATACGTTTCACAAATAACTAAATTTAACGCTGAACCACTAACTAGATTCTAACTAGACTGAGCCACTAACTAGATTCTAGCATAAGCTGGAATCAAGATTGCCAGGAGAAATATCAACCTCAGACATGCAGATAACACCACCTTTATGGCAGAAAGTGAAGAGGAACTGAATAGCCTCTTGATGAAAGTGAAAGAGGAGAATGAAAAAGCTGGCTTAAAACTCAACTTTCAAAAAATGAAAATCATGGCATCCAGTTCCATCACTTCATGGGAAATAGATGGTGAAACAATGGAAACAGTGACACACTTTTTTGGGGGGCTCCAAAATCACTGCAGATGGTGACTGCAGCCATGAAATTAAAAGATGCTTGCTCCTTGGAAGAAAAGCTATAACCAACCTAGACAGGATATTAAAAAGCAGAGACATTACTTTGCCAATAAAGGTCTGTATGGTCAAAGCTAAGGTTTTTCCAGTAGTCATATATGGGATGTGAGAGTTGGACCATAAAGAAGGCTGAGCACCAAAGAATTGATGCTTTTGAACTGTGGTGTTGGAGAAAACTCTTAGAGTCCCTTGGACTGCAAGGAGATGCAACCAGTCCATCATAAAGGAAATCAGTCCTGAATATTCATTGGAAGGACTGATGCTGAAGCTAAAACTCCAATACTTTGATCCCCTGATGAGAAGAACTGACTCATTGGAAAAGACACTGATGCTGGGAAAGATTGAAGGCAGGAGGAGAAGGGGATGACAGAGGATGAGATGGTTGGATGGCATCACTGGCTAGATGGACATGAGTTTGAGCAAGCTCTGGGAGTTGGTGATGGACAGGGAAGGCTGGCATGCTGTGGTCCATGGAGTTGCAAAGAGTTGGACACAACTGAGCAACTGAACTGAACTGAACTGAACTAAATTCTAGTCAGAATGTTAGAAACTCTGACTAAACAAATAGGTCTGTTTCAGAATCATCTTGAATATGCATATGAAAAATAATTTGGATTTGTGCCTACAAAATTTTGCCAATAATAACTATTGTTAAGAATTAGATGCTTGCATAAGCATGAGGCAAAACTAAATATAAACAATATAAGCTGAAGCTTGTTTAAAAGTCAACAAACCTTCCAATTATTTGGTACCAGGCTAGTTTTTCAATGTTCTCAATAATCAAATGGAGCAAAAACTTTCTCCCTGACTAGTTTGGCCTTAATAATATAGATTTAGATAAAGTGAAAAACTACGATTAGTCCAAAAAGTGACAGGACACTTAACCAGGAGGTTTGGTGAAGCCATTTTATGGAGTAGTTAAGAATATGAGATGCAGACAGACTTTGGTAAGAGCCTAGTTTCTGCCACATTTGCTATGTAATTATGGTCGAAATATGTCATAGTGATTTTTTTAAGGATTAAATGCAAAATTACAAATAAAGTGTTTAGCCTAGTGCTAGGCATAGAGAAGTCATTTGGTAAATATTATGACCCATTAGGAATCTCATCAAAGCCTTTGAATTTCCCCTAAAGAATGTAATGTGTACTCTTTTTAGAAAAGATAGGAAATGTGGAAAGGATGAAGCAATCTCAATATATATGCCATAAATATATCCATATATATGTTTACATTTGTAAATATGTATATGTGTTTCTACATATGTAGGTTTAAAATGTATCTTACATGTATGTATCTATAAAAATATAGCCAAACACACATATACCTATTTGTCTTGGTTGTACACTTCTATTGAAGGCAACAACTTTCAATGCATTTCATATACCGGTAGAATAATGTAGTATGTGCCTCTAACATGTCTTTACTATGTATATGTGAAAGTCATAATCTAGAATATTTTTTTTTCTTTAACTCTCATTTAGTATTAAATAAGAAATAGGTACACTGTGTGGAATGAATTTATTTGCAACTGCTATCATTTTATGGTTGATTTATTATGCTGTCTTAAAAAACACTCTTTGCCTCTTAGGTAAACTGGTGGATGAAACTGGACAATATAAATACATGTATTTGGCCTGTGGAGCTATTGTGGTCATAGCCAGCGTGTGGCTGCTCATCGGCAATGCCATCAACTACAGATTGCTTGCAAGGGAAAAGAAGAAGAATATACATACCAAGGAATCTCAAGAAACTGAACCCTTGAAGACATCTCAGAGTCCCAATGTTAATATCAAAAGTGGCGAAACTGAAACATGGAAAGGAGCAGAGGTTAATCCCTCAGAAAGAGAAACAAATATTTAACAAGAATCATATGTCTGATTTCAGTATTCATGACTTTCTCAGGAGTATTTTTTCTTTCAACATATTGGAAGATTTTTAGTTGAAATGAAGAGTCATAGTTAAGGATGGAGATGAGATTTTCCTTAACAACAAATTTTAAATGTTTCTCTTTAAAAACTTACTTGGGTAGTTAAATTTTGAGATTATGCATATAAAGAATTCATGCATTGGGTTTGTGTCCATACATGAGTCTGGTTGTGGTGGTTAAATGATTTTAAAGTCTTCTGGTGACTTCTAGTCTTGGTTATAGAGATCTGAATTCCAAAATGCTGGTTTCAGTAGTTAGAAAGAGTATGTTTAATCCTATAAGAATACCCTATCCACATTTCATTTTTGATTCAATATTAAAGTGTGAAATGGAATTGAAGGAAATTAATTTTTTTTTCCTAGATATCCTCACACACACCAACTTTCATACACTTAAGAATGAACAGACAAGGTATCTGGAGAAAAAAAGACAAGTTTAAAAAGAATATTATCACTGTATATATATTTTTAATTCCATGGAGAAAAAAAAATGCATTATATCTGCATAGTACCTTATAGTGTGGATGTTAGAGATATGAACATGGGTGAAAATGAGAGTGGTCTTAATTTGAAAATGTAATTAACTGCTGTAAAACAAAAGCAATTGCATATATGAAATAAATTTGAAAAAAAGTAAAAGCTCTATTTTTTAGATAATTATTTCTGAGCCCTGTCCAATTTGATCCATGCATGCACATGATTTCTTTGAGGGGGGCCATCAATACCTGGTACTAGTGAATAGAACCCTCAAATAATCAGAATTTACTAATAAGTAAATCAAATTAAAAACTTAAATGACTCCTAGCAATGAGCCATATCTTTTGATTTGGAAAATCCATAAAGTAATAAGTAGAAACATCTTTTAACCAAACTTAGTCCAGACTAGCTGTCTTACTAAGACACCAAAGTGTAACTCAGCTGAAATCCTGGTTGACAGGCTGACAAACAGGCAGAGATTTCATTTTTCCCAACACATAGTGGTGATAAGAGGGTTAAGATTATGATTATTCCATCTGAATAAAGCTAAGAGTGGAAGGTACTTACAATGAGCCCTCCAAGCTCTCTCATTTCCCTCCATTCACCAACAAGCAAAAAGCAAAAAACAAATCCAAACAGGCTTTTCTCTCAGCCACTGAAAATGTCTCATATTATAGGAAAGGAAGCGCTAGAAAGCCCACCCTCTACTGACTAGACCTCCTGCTGCCTGTAAACATAACTAAACCAGGACACTTAAAAAAGGCTTCTAGACCTGGGGGTTGTGTGTGACTTTATACACACTTTTGAAGTGGAGATTTAATTTATAACTTGATAGAAAGAAGCTTGAAATATGGGAACCCAGGTTAATTTAGCAGTTTCTCATAACTATGTGAAGACATCTGGGACTCAATTGCTCTTGAATGTAGAGGCATATGATAGATCTGTGAATTCAGATCTAATAAATACCATTTTGAGTGGTAAAGTACTTTTAAACAAGAAGCAATGCATGCATTAGGTATAAAGGTATAAACATTCACCTTTATAAATCTGAAGTTTAAATTAAGTTCATGATTAATAAAAAACATTGAGCCTTTGATTATTGAATGTCATTCTTAAGATGTCAAAAGGATTTTGTCATTCTTTCTTCTTACCGTTGCAGTAGAGGCAGATGAGTAAGCAAATAAGTATTCTTATTTCCTTTAAGACTATGCTTAGATACCAAGCTTCTGTGATAATTAACACTAGGGATTTGATTTGTAAACTTTAGGTACTGTTTGAGCATGTAGCTTGTGTTTATCAAGCTGTATACAATTCCATATTTCATTTCACATGCACTTTTCCGCATGGAAAGGGTATTTGTATTTTTAAAATATTAACTGAAACAATATGTGCCAATACCATAGGTAAATAAATCAGGGAAATTGTGACAGTATATAGTTGTTTTTAATTTAGTTTCATTCAATCTTGAATCCTAAATGAGCTGTTTCATATTATTAGTATGTTTGTATTCAACTCTGACTAGTCATAAGAAATGTGACATCATAAATTGTGCAGTAGCTTTCCAATCTTAAACGTTTCCAAAAAAATGCCTTGAATTCTCTGAAGATACATATTTAAATTAATACAGATAATAGATCCTTGGGGCAAGTAATGATCATGGGGTCTTAAAGGCCTAATTTATCACCTGCCAGTGGGTGCATTCCAGTGGTTTTCTCCATGGAAAGAGGTTTATTTACTTGCTGATGAGATTCTTGTCAAGAAAAAACCAATTTTTATTTGTTCTATTGCATTTTGATCATCTTTTTAAATTTCATTTCTGACATTGATTGATTACATTAAATTGTTAAAAAAAAAACAAAAGGAGATTGAAATTGCACATTCAAAGCACATAATGTGAGGTATACAGTCATGCCTGCCAGTCATACTGCACCAAGTTACAAGCATGCATGCAGCTTAATTCTCATCCATAAATGTTGAAAATTAGAACACACGTGAACAGTGATATAAACACACTCAGGATTCAGAATTGTTCCAAGGTAAAATAAATGTTTCCAGTTGTTTACTCTCTCAAATCAGTTAAACTTGTTAGAATTTTTGCTGCTTGAAGAATTTTTGCTGCTTGAACAGAATCTTTCAGAGATAGAGAAGAGAATACCAACCTAGAACATTTATTATTATAAAGCTACCTAAACGGAGCAGGAAATATAGTTGGCTTCTGTGTCTGCAGCGATGAGTGATTAGTGCAGGACACACTTCTTCCCCGAGGGAATGACAGGTTTTAGATGTTCAAGCTATCACGAAACAAAGTCAGAAACCTTAACAATCCCTTTTAGTCCATTTTCCTATTATGGAATTGTGCAGAAAGAAGGTTATCATAAACCTGGTTACCAAAATAATTCATGATCACTGGCTAGATTAAGACACCCAGTATTACTCACTGTTTAATCTTAAATATGTCTTCATTAATTTGTGAATGGAATACAGGGTATAGACATCTTTTGACACATGCCCATCCTCTTTCTGACTCTTTTTGGAGCCAATAAACACATATTTAAGAGACAGTGGGTCAGGCTCTAGTGTGCTTCACATTGGAAGACATGATATTTTCTCAGTGTGAATTGACTTGGCTCATAAACTTCACCTCGTTAGTGTTAACATGTTAGTCGCTCAGTCAAATCGGACTCTGCCACCCCATGGACTGTAACCTGTTAGGCTCCTCTGTCCATGGAATTCTCCAGGCAAGAATGGTGGAGTGGATAGCCAGTTCCCTTCTCCAGGGGATCTTCCCCACCCAGGGATTGAACCCAGGTGTCCTGCATTGCAGGCAGACTCCTTACCACTGAGCCGCCAGGGAAGTGTTAATACCAAATTGTAATCACCTTATTTCATGGAGCCTCCCCCGCTGCTGCTGCTAAGTCGCTTCAGTCGTGTCCGAGTCTGTGCGACCCCCGAGACGGCAGCCCGCCAGGCTTCCCCGTCCCTGGGCTTCAACAGGCAAGAACACTGGAGTGGGTTGCCATTTCCTTCCCCAGTGCTTGAAAGTGAAAAGTGAAGGTGAAGTCGCTCAGTCGTGTTCGACTCTTAGCGACCCATGGACTGCAGCCCACCAGGTTCCTCCGTCCATGGGATTTTCCAGGCAAGAGTACTGGAGTGGGGTGCCATTGCCTTCTCCAGAGTCTTCCCTAGACACTAGAAAATACCTAAAGTAATTTGGTTTGATATATTTGAATGTGCACTTCAAAAATTTAGGTATTTTTACTCATCCATCTCTGGCTGTACATGATAGTTTAGGATATAGGGGAAAAAAGACGGTAATATCCATGATGTAAATGTAAGTTTTTACATTGATGTTATAAAATGTAGAGACTTACTTAAAAGTTAATTGAAACTTATTTTCTATCCAAAAATACCTTTTAAAAACACCCTTACACGTACAGTGTTGCAAGCTCTTGCTATAAATGATCGTGATAATTTAGGTTCAAATTAATAGGGGAAAAGAATATAAAGTGGAAAGGGAACAGATATTTATTTATATTTCCTGTGTTATTCCTATTAAAACCTTTTAGTATTCAAATCAAATCATAGGTATTGTCCTGATGTAATAGATGAGTGAAACAAAACAAAAAGAGACGTACCAAGAAGCTCAACAAATTACCTAAAGTTAAAAAGGAGTATGTGACTGAACCAGAACTAAAACTCAGGTTTACATAAAAGCAGAGAGGCCCTAGGGTGTTCCCTGCCATACTGCCTGCCCCTAGTAGCTATAGATACAGAAGTAGATAAATGTAGATAGAAAAAGATTAAACACTGTATGGTAAACCAATGAGACTATGATCTAATTAGTGTTTATTAAAGACTGCATTTGCCATAACCTGAATATATGGTTTCAAGTTGCCTACTTTTCTACCCAATGCAAATTATCCCAAACAATGGTAATAATTATATAATAGCCATAATTGCTTCAGTGTGACTTTTTTTGGAAAAAATAATGAAACATTTATAGTACTCAGGTATAATGTATTTTCCCTGAGGTTGGGTTTAGAAGAAAAATGCTATTTTCTTTATGGATAAGTAATTCCCATATTAGTTGCTACTTATTATGACTCAAAAATAAAAGTACTTACTATGAAACACTATGTTCAGAATTATAAGTGATTCTTATACGTGATTCTCACTTATAAGATTATCTTAGTGGTGAAAGTCTCTCAGTTGTGTCCGACTTTTTGCAACCCCATGGATTGTGGCCCCCCAGGCTCCTCTGTCCATGGAGTTCTCTAGGCCAGAATACTGGAGGGGGTAACCGTTCCCTTCTCCAGGGGATCTTCCTAACCCAGGAACCCAGGTCTCCAGCATTGCAGGCAGATTCTTTACCATCTGAGACACCAGGAAAGTCCAAGATTGTCCTAAGCTAACAACAATTTGTAAAAAGCTTATGAGATGCATAGGCTTGGTTCATC